CAAATTTTAATCAACATATATGATTTAGTTTTGCAGTAACACCATACTGTTAATAATGATATTAAGTGGTACAGGGAACAGGCAAAGCACAGATTTTTGCGAGTAAAAGGAACACTGAAAGGTCAAGCTGGCACCAAAGTAAGGCCTGGTGCTAGACAAAACTGCACTCTGTGAGCACGAGGAACAGTCCGGATGGTGATTACTTAACAGTTCTGAAAGGCAGTCAAGTGAACAATGGATGCTTTACAACAATTAGGGCATATGTTTATATTGTAGGAATGCCTGGGTTGTAATCAGGTAGATTTGCATTCTGAGTTCTTTCAAAGCTTGTCTTTCCTCAAAAACAACTCATTCCTTCACTCATTCAACAAATACTAGGTACATGAAAAAGTGAAGCGACGGTCTTAGTGGTTCAGTCATGTCCAACTCTTTGTGACCCCATGGATTAGCGCTCACCCTGGCTCCTCTGTGCATGGAATTCCCCAGGCAAGAATACTGGAGTGGGTAGCCATTCCCTTCTCCAGGGGATCTTCCCGACCCAGGGATCAAACCTGGGTCTCCTGCATTGCAGGCAGATTCTTAAACCGGCTGAGTCATCTACTAATTACCATTCTAGGCACTGGGAAACAAAAGTGAACAAAACGAAGATCCCTGCCTTCCTGGAGCTTGTATTCGAGCAGCACTTAAAATTGCATTCTAAAATTCCATCCCCAATCTTATTATAGGGGAGTAGCTTTTACAAATGCCTTTGGAAGAAATCACTTATGATCTATGAGTAAATCATGCTAAGATGTGAGAGACTAATAGTCTTCCAGTGGTAACTGCAAAAGCAAATACTTCACAGATTCACAGACTCTTAAGAGCTAGAAAGGACCTTGGAGATAATTTCAATTTACAGATAAGATTAAGGGATTTGCCCAAGAACGCTCAGCCACTAATAGGAGAGCCAGGCTTAGAACTGTGACTTGGTGTTACAGCATTTCCTATGTAACACCACGCTGCCTGTTTTAAGATTATACTAAAGGGAAGAAATGCCAGACCAGGCATTCATGATTCATACATAGGCGGGAGGTTCCCGAGTGACTTGTCCAAAGGCAAAAAGCGTCTCAGGCAGTGTGTACTGAAGGGGAGAGAGGTGATGATAGCGAAGACAAACTGGGGGGAGCTTTCACAAGTTTCTTCCCATCTCTACCCTCATCATGTCCCAAGAACAAAGAAAATACAAAACTTCTCCACAGTTAATGGATTTGAACTCCTAGTGAGGAGATGCCAGGGGTCGGGGGGGGGGGACACAAAGTACTAAAGAGTCAATAGTAAAAAAAGCCAGATTACATCCTATCCAATTTGAAAAGCACATATTTCCAGGAAAAGTACCATTTGTATTAGCTTTAAGGTTTTTTTTTTTTTAATTTACTTTCCTTTGTTTTCCACAAAGGACCAGATTAACTGGTATAGATCAACAAATATAATGACTGATAAAATAGGAATGGAATATTGATTGATGTGATGTACTGAGGCATCTCATCAGAAGACAAGACTTTATAAAGATAATTCCTCCTCCTCTGGGAGAATTACATTCACCTCTTGCTTAAAAATTCTGGCAATCTATATACATTTAAAAAAACCCAAACTAGTTACTTAATTTTTCAAAGTAAAGATTCATGATCAACAAACTTAAGCCTTACTTAGTATTCTAAAAGAAAACGTATTTTTTAAAATGGAGAAGAAAATGGCAACCCACTCTAGTATTCTTGCCTGGAGAATCCCAGGGACAGAGGAGCCTGGTGGGCTGCTGTCTATGGGGTCACACAGAGTCAGACACAACTGAAGCGACTTAGCAGCAGCAGCAGCAGAAGGGGGAAAACTTGTTAAGAAAGAACCGAAAAATAAGCTTAGTACAAAAAAATAAAAGTTAAAAAAAAAGAGGAAGATTACTAATTATAGAGTTATAGGAAAAATGAAAGCTGATAGGCACCAAGGATCCTCATTAAAATCTCATTATGTGTCTCTGTAAATGGTAGTTTATATACCTAAGATGCAAAGTATTATGAGAATCCCAGTTTTTAGATTTTTTTTTTTTGAAGTCTTTATTGAATTTCTTACAACACTGCCTCTGTTTCAAGGGGTTTTTTGTTTTTGTTGTTGTTGTTGTTTAGCTGCAAGGCATGTGGGATCTTAACTCCCTGACCAAGGATCAAACCTGCACCCCTTGCATTAAAAGGTGAAGTCTTAACCACTGGACTGCCAGGTAAGTCCCGAGAACCTCGGTTTATTTCAGTAGCTGCACCATTATTTTAGCTTCCCAAACTTAAAATCTTGCATAAACTTTTACCTCTATTGTTTCCTATAGTTCATCAGTCATCATGATCTAATATGTCTTCCTTCAAAATGTCCACAAGGGCTTCTCTTGTGGCTCAGCTGGTAAAGAATCCCCTGCAATGCAGGAGACCTAAGTTCGATCCCCAGGTTGAAAAGATCCCTCGGAGAAGGGAAAGGCTATCCACTCCAGTATTCTGGCCTGGAGAATTCCATGGGGTTGCAAAGAGTTGGACGTGACTGAGCGACTTTCACTCAAAATGCTCTTCTGAATACCAAGCAAATATTTCCAACTTCAAAACAACACACACACATACACAAAAGAAGCCTGACCATTAAAAAAGAACATTTTTCAAAGAATGAGAAATATTCATGATATGCTGAGTCAAAATAAAAAAAAAAATCCCCACAAGGAGAAAAGTGCATAATCCAAGATTTATAAAGGAAAAGAGCAATCATCATTTAAAAAATAATTTGAAAAGAACCACCACAAGAAAATGTTAACAGTTGGTCTTTCTGCTTGGGGGATTTTATAAGGGGCTTTCCCTCGTTTCATACTTTCTTTGCATTTCCTAAATTTCCTACCATGAACATACATTATTTTCAAACTTAGGAAAAATATTATTTCAGTCATAGCCTCATTTCACCACCTGTGCTTTCTTACAGCAAGCTGAGTCGTTATCTGACTCTTTGCAACCCCATGAACGTAGCCCACCAGGCTCCTCCATCCATGGGATTTCCCAGGCAAGAATACTGGAGGGGGCTGCTATTTCTCCATTCTCACTGCTCCTATCCTAACTCCTTACAGCCTCTTCCTTCCCCAAGACTCTAACAGCAGTTGTCTTCTTGAGGTATCTGAAGCAGCTTCTCCCTCCTAACTTTAACATTGCTTGTACTCCTGCTCTGAAAAGTCATCATTCATACTTATCTAAAGCACATGGAGGCAGAGGCCAGCCACGTCAACAAAGCTTTAAAGAGGGTTTCCCAAGCTCCTCAGCACTGACATTTGGGGTAACTTGTTTTCGTGTCCTGCTGCAGGATGTCTAGCAGCATTCCTGGCCTCTCTCCACGAGATGCCAGGAGCACCCCGCCCCCCAAGTTGCGACACTGCCAAATGTCCATGTCCCTGACGGGCAAATCTGCCAGTCGTTGAGAATCACCGTTGAAAAGTCTGTAAACTTCTAGTACCATCTCTGTCTCTGCTTTATATTTACGTCAAACCTAAACTTCTGTGACCTATGAGTCTTATATAACACTTCTGGCACTCTTCTGCCATAATCCTCTTTTCCTCAGTAGGAACTTTCCAAAGAGACCAGACTTCCTGTACCCTAGAAAAATCATTTTCACTCCCAATTCCGAATCTTTGAACACACTGCTACCCCCTAAAATTCCCCATTCATATTATTCAAGGTCCTACATCCAATCTTTAGCTTGGGTTCTCTGCAGAAGCCTTACTGATCTCAGTCCAGTTCACCACACACCCACTGCACTCATGAAGAAAATCTCACATATCTTTTTTTTTTGGTGGTGGTGGTGGTTGTTAATTTTATATTCCAAACTAGACTAACTTCCCTCAGGTTTTGCTGCCCTGGCACATTTCTTTTGTGTAACTAATTGGGCCTAACAGTGCTTGGTAACTGATGAATGAAATTTAAATGCTCAGCTGTAAATAAGTGTAAACGGTTATTTCTTCTGAAATGAATTTGCTTTTGAATCCTATTTCTTATGGAGTTATTATTTAAGCTAATTCAGTAAGTTTTCAGAAACAAACACTAATATACAATGGTATATTTTAAGGAATACATAGGTTTCAAACTCTACACTTTTAGGAAATGATACAAACGAATTAAAACTATAAACTACAACACAAACTTAAACTTTATACATTCTATTTATCTTAAAATAGCCGAATGATTTTTTTGCTTAATGCACACAACTTAAGCATGTCTACGGGAGAACTCGATTTAATAGCATGTGCATGAACACCAACGCACCTCACAGGTATATTATCTCGCCAGTTGACAGAAGTAAATGAAATGAAACTACTTTGTAAACTAGAAAGAACCACATGTAAAGGAGGCAGTAGAGAAATATAACTAAAAGAGTGGAGCCGGTTTGCTTGGGTCCCAATTATATTAGCTGTGTAATCTTGTACAAGTCACTTTTAACTTCTCTGTGCCTCAGTTTCCTCCTTGTCAAAATGGGGATAATAACTCTGACCAAAGCAAAGTTCTCAAAACAGTGCTTGGCACACAGAAAGCACAAAATGAATATTAATCAATGTCATTGTTATAACGCTAATTATTGGCCAAGTTAAAGCCTCAATGTATAAACTTCTGATTCAAGTCTGAAATTGTTTAAAAAAAAATACACAACGAAATAAACTATAGAAATTGAAGCTATTAGGTAGACTAGTTTCTCAAAATTTTTGCCAAGTGCTAAACTGGTGATTGTTACAGACCTAATTTGTTACAATCCTTTTTTTTAAGATCTCAAAGAAACTGACATAGACACCTCTGTTTTCAAGGAATTTTACGAGCCACAAGAAAACAAATCAACTCTTTGTTTTCTCCATACTTAAGCCAATTTAAGAGCGTGGTAAAAGCCTAGGTACAATTACAGAACAACTTTTCAGAAAATACAATGAGGTTTTTAAAGTTGTAATCAGCAATTCTTATGCAGTTATGTCAAGTTTTTGTCCTGCTGAACAAAAGGTTATGTGTCAGGGAAGCAAGGACCCGGTAGAAAAGAAGAAAATGCCACTGCTGGGCCTAGGCGGCTCTCGGGAAAACCTGTCCTCAAACACAGTGCCTCAGACGCCGGCGTCCTTCCCCTCCGCGGGATGCACACGTCGGCTCCACCCGAAGATAAATAAGTGACAGCAGGTTCCGTCCACGCCTCTCCCGGCCCAGACCTCTCGCGCCCACCCGGGCGGCCTCCAGCACCTGCCGCCCCGACCCTCCTCGCTACGGAAGCGTAGGGGGCTTCACCGGACAACGCAGCCTCGCCGCTCCGACCCCCGACCCCGGCAGCGTCACGCGGGTCAGGCCGAGCAGAGGCCGCCGCGGGGCCTGCAGGTGGGCCCAGGGCGCGGTCAGGCCCGGCCCCGGCAGGGCAGCCTCTGGCGCGGGGCTGGCGCAGGCCCGCTCGTCACTTACCGGCGCCTCATGGTACCGCGGCGCCTCCGCCCAAACCAGGCGCTGACCGACTGCGCCCGGCAGCCCAGACTATCCCTCGGCTCTCCGGCCGAGATCCAGGAACGGCCATTCAAACGCCGCCGCGCGCGCGGCCCGCCGGGATAGCTCCCCCTAGGGCTTCTCGGAGGCTCCGCCCAATGCTGGCTCCGCCTCTTTCAGGTGGCTCGGGGTTGGAGGGAGGGGGAAGACAACGTGTGGCCACAGTGCCCCCTGGTGGCCACAGGTATGCAGTATGTAGTCGTGCTATGTCTGATGTGGCAAGTAATACTGCTCTAGGAACGGAGTGTAAAAGTCAAAGAATGACCCCGCGCTAGGGAAATTCTAGTGGATGAAACCGTGCTTTAAGTGTTGGACCAGGAGCAAACAATCTGCTATAAAACTGTGGTGCAGGGAGAGATTTATTCACTCACTCTCAATTAAGTGCTCCAAGGCAAAAGTTTTGAAAGGGCAGACTGGAGCTCTGCGACCTTTGGGAAATCATGTAAACTCCCTTAAGCTTTGGTTTCCCCACCGATCAAATGGGGTTATTAATGGTTATTGATGCCTCATAGTTCTGAGGATTACATGTTAACACATAGAATATTCTTAGAAGACTGTATCTGGCACATGGTAGTATCAAACACAATCAGTTTTGTTTTGACCCTTTGTGACCCCATGGTCTGTAGCCTGCCAGGCTCCTCCGCCTGTGGAGCTCTCCGGGCAAGAATGCTGGAGTGGGTAGCCATTCACTTCTCCAGGAGATCTTCCTGACCCAGGGATAGAAGCCAGGTCTCCTGCGTTGGAGGCGGATTCTCTACTGTCTGAACCATCAGAGAAGTCCAGCACATAGGAAGCACTATATAACTGTTAGCTCTTATTTTTCACTTCCTAATACTTGCTGACTCAGACTCTTTTCTGGACTCGTAAGAACACAACAAATATGCATGATGTAGACCCCGTCCCCAGGAAGCAGGCTCAGTTTCTTTAGGATGGGGAACTCTGAGATGAGGTTAGGGTTGGGTCTGTCCCTGAGGTGCTTTTTAATTATCGAGGGCAATTCTCTTCATCATAGTGGAGACAGAGTCTATCTATCTTCAAAAGTAAGCTACTGATCAAATTGTGGTGGGAGCAACTTTATCTTTGGTGGGCCTTTCATCCCTTTCAGAAGCCACCCAGGTAGGGCATTTGACGAAACAGTTCACTGTAAGATTCCACATCCCCCCAAAAGACTTCACACCCCTAGCTCACTGCTTTTCGCACTCCATTAAGAGCTCCCCAAGGCTGCCTAAGGAACAGGTTGCCTAAGTTGGGTTCAGCAATATTTTTGAAGGCCCACCATTGTGCCAGGATGCACTCTACAGGGAGACAGCTTGGAGGAGCTCACAGTGGCCTGGATAAATAGGGAAGGCGATCATTCCAGTACATTGTAGTGAATGCAATGATAAAAGGTTTACCCTAATGCTCTGGAAGTTCAGAGCAATGTGAGGCCTGGCAGAAAAATTAATCAGAGCTAAAATATCACTTTGTGATAACAATATATTTTTCCTATCTAGTAACAAGGCCCTTACTAAATACACACACACACACAATTAAGTAATGGTAAAAATTTCAGGCACTACTTGAGGTTGATGGGAGAAATACTGTTGGGGTATGTTTTGCACAAGCAGTCTTGGAGAGCTTCTCAGATCGTACCATGCATGCACAAGCAGGCACATGCCTCTGCATGGCGCCCCGCCTGTTAACAGGTGGGAGGGTTGAGAGTCCCACAAGTTGAGTGAGGAAGCAGAAGCTCTGGGTTCTGGGGATGTGTAGCGTAGAACATTCCCTGAGTAGGACTTACACTAAGTGGGTGTGCCATTTTAAAGAAAATAAAACTCATACGTGGGTGAAGTCACTTTCTCTCAAGCTATTTCTTCATCGCCATTATCACAAACAGGAATTTCTTGACCTACCACACAAAGGCAATGTGCTAGGCCCTCCCCAGAAGAGGGTGAAAAGAGTGTAAGGCATAGTTCTTACCCTCAAGGAAGGCTAGGTGATGAGGTAAGACAACTAACGGAGTCCCGGGACTCAAGATATCTGCGGTGTTGACACAGAAGGATTTCGGCTCAAACAAGGCCTCGGGTTGTCTGAAGGCCAGAGGCGAACCTTGGTATTCTCATTTCTAAAACTTCTCAGGACAAGAGTCTCAGGTAGGTTTGTCTCCAGACTCGGGTTCCGAGGTTTAAAGACATCTGACCCACATGGCTGCCAAACGTCAACATAGCTTAAGGTGAAAAGAAATAAATTTGCCCAAAAAAAAGAAATAAATTTGCCTTCGTATTGCTATTTTGGAAATATATACCATTTTAGTGATGAAAATGCAGGTCGATTTTCTTCACTGATACTTTTCAGTCAATAAAGTTGCATTCCCCCCCTCCTTGGAACTCAATCAAGATTTTTTAATGGATTAAAAAAAAGTGCATTCCACACATATTTTTATTATCCCTGCACCAGCACACCTTATACATAGAAATGTAGTTCTCCGAGAGCCCTACATGTAGTCTCAGAGAGTTCACCCCTTTAGCCATTCCCTCAGACCTTCCTTCCGACTGCCTTAAATATTCCTTCCATTTGAGTGATCAGGCAGCCGAGTTAGCCTCTCTGTCCTACATCTCCCTCTTGCAGGGATATGGACATCTTTCAGGAACAGTGTGTAGAATAACTCTCGCTATAAACACCCACGTAAGAAAAGAACTCTCATGCCATGCGTATGAGTGCTTCTGAGTGGAGATTAAGGGGCAAGATCATGTAGGAAGGTTGGAGTTGAGAGGATTTTGACGGTGGGAGAAATACAAAACAAATTCCAAGACTGCTCTCTATCCAGATTTGAGCCCGCTGGAAAGAGCTCTAGCTAGTAGCAGGAGCAGACTGTCACGTGACAGGTTGTGGAGATCTGGAATGATCAAGCTAAGGTGTTTGGGAAGGAAAAAAATTATTAGAAACCAGTAAAAGTCTATTACTTATGGACAAGCACTGTTTCTATTTGAACATGTGGTTTTTTTTCCCAGATGTTTTACTATGCAATTAAAACTATATTTAAGGACAGAAATGAGATCATATCCTACTTACCACTTTGTAAGCTGCTTTTTTATGATAAATATCATATTTTGTAGATCAATCCATACAAAATTAATTGAAGTGCCAATTTGTATAAACGCACATAGTAATAAAAACGGCAGTTGAAACTTAAAAAGGGATAGGGATCGAGCAGGGAAGTGACAGAGTTACATCAGTACCTTGGAAGTATTGGCCTATCATCCGGATGCAAGACCGCTAGTGAGAGAAGGGAGGGAGGATTGGACTTTAGGTCTGAAGTGCGGTTGTTCAGGTCAGAGGTTCAAGGAGCCTGAACATTTACTATGGTGATGCCATTCTCACCCCTCCAGAATGATGCTGGGCTTGGTAGAAGACCAAGAGTGAAGAGATGTAAAACACAGCAATAGCTCATCCTTTCCATGGCTAACTATACCCACTGCTCAGCCTCAGAGCCCCTGGAAAATTCCAGGCTTTGGCAAAGCGAGGAGTCCGTCCCTTTTATTCTGCCCCTCCCTTCCCCACCTTCCTGTTCAGACTTTGAAAGGAAAGAATGGCAGTCGGGAAAGTTTCAGATAAGACAGTACCACTCCTAGTTTGCAAGACTCACAGTCATTTCAAATACCACCACAGCACACATGCCCTTCTCGGCGGCAGAAGCAGTGGTTTTTTGGATTTTGTTTGAGGGGTGGAGGGTGGGGACAGCTGAGTGGGAGCGGATGCTCCTGTTAAAGCAGTTTGTTTTGGATGCAGCTGTTACCCTTTGACAGCTGGAAAGCAGATGATGATATTTGTTATAGATTTTGCGAATTCGAAGCCCAAGAGACCATTTTCCTCCTCCCCCATAGATTTCCTGCAATTAGGTACACTGTCACCAAGTGAAAGAAGGTAGGAGGCAGCATGTTAGAGTGGAAAGAATGCTAGCTTTGGAGCAAGGTTCATCTCTAGCAGACGGCTAGATCACTGCCTTCGGGCCCTTCCATGCCACTTTTACCTCAATTGCACAATGGGGAGAACAGTAACTCTTCTCTCAGGGGATGCTGGGGAATAGGGCAACCTATGTAAAACACTCCAATAGTACATCCCACTGTGACTCTCTCTGAAATATTTCCTACCCCTAACTTTACCTTTTCAGTGATTTTTCTAAGAGAAGAATACAATTTGGTTGACTGCTCCCTTGGAAAGCCAGACTTGGGATTAGACCAGCTCCAGGAGGGGAACTAGTGCTGGGGAGACAGACTCGCTGTGGTGCTGATGGCCTGGTAATCAGTACAGAGTATCTCAAAGCTATGACCATTCACAAAACAAGTCCAGTCATGCGGTTGCCTAGGGGGTTCCATACTATGGAGGCCTCATCACAAACGCATAGTGGAGAGGAGTTCAAAGGCAAGGTATGGGCAGAAAGGAAAGGCAATGGCAGGACAAGGAGCATCAGAAGCAGGATAATGTCTTTGGGAAGGGTACTTGAAAGAGCAAACAGGTCTACAGCCTCGAGAGACTGGAGCTGCAGGAAGACCACTAAAACTGAAGTCTGCTTCTTAGAGCCGGACACAAGGCCAAACCACTTTGGCAGTAACAAAATTGAGTCTGAACAGAAACTGGCTATGCAATATTAAATATGTTTTTTGGAACACCTGTTTTGCAAGACGTCGCTAGACTGAAAATAAAAAGAGGGAAGAAGAAAAAAAGGCTTCCTTGGCCATAGAAGTTTGGTAACTATTGGATAAAACAAGTATTTCTTTACTGTAGTATACCACTTCTCAAAGTCTTTAAAAATACTAACGTTAATTGTGACTCTAAAAGAAAGACAGGAATTCTCTGGCGGTTAAATGGTTAGGACTCCACACTTTCACTGCCAATGGCCCAGGTTCAACTCCTGGTAGGGGAGCTAACATCCTGCAAGCCTTGAGGAGCAATAAATAGATAGACAGACAGACAGACAGACAGATACAGGTGTGCGAGCATGCTCAGTCACTTCAGTCCTGTGTGACTCTCTGTGACCCTATGGACTGTAGCCCACCAGGCTCCTCTGTCCATGGGATTCTCCCAGC